AAGCACATTGAAGTGCACATTGTACGACTTTACCAATATACGCGTATACATCGTTAATCTGCGACTATTTAACAAATGATTTAAATAAAAATAAAAATGTCGGCGTTGTTGGGAGCGCCCGTGGATTTCGAGAAGGATAACCGAAGGAGCCTCAAGCACCTTATTTGTAGAATTGGCAGAAGAAGATCCAAATTCATATTTGAACCATTTGCGAATGACGGAAACTCAATTTAATGAACTACTTGAAAAGGTTACACTTGTCTGACTGTCACGCCACTTAAAACCCATTTTAAACACCCATGTGCGCAGGCGAAATAGGTGCGCGTGCGTACCTATGCTTAACATTGCACATTGAACGACTTTATCAATACAAACGTATATCATTTAAATTACATTCAATGTTCACAACGCAATGCGATGTCACGCCAAATCGCACGTGCGAGAATTTCTTTAATCTGCGTCTTTTTAATAAACGAATTAAATAAAAAAATAAAATCCCAGCGTTGTTGGGTGCGCCCGTAGATTTCGAGAAGAATAACTAAAGAAGCCTCAAGCAATTTATTTGTAGAATTGGCAGAAGAAAATCCAAATTCATATTTGAAGCATTAGCGAATTACGGAAAGTCAATTAAATGAATTTCTTGAAAAGGTTACAGTTGTCTTACTGTCACACCACTTAAGGCGACACCGCGAAAAAATGCACCTCCTTTCATCGAATGGTATAAGACTGTGCCACCACTAACGTAAGTGGAATTTTGATATAGGTAAATTCATGTCTTTATCTTGAATTTGATTGTTAAAAAACACGATTGTATAACTTTGATTCGATCATAATTATTTGCGAAAACACTTCTAAAAAATCACTATAGTTGAAATTACAACGAAATTACTTAATCTATATGCTTGGGAATCACTCAAATATATTCACATCAATATTCATAATTTACTTGCTCATTATGATTACTTAAATCAATAATTTTATAAAAATATTTTAAGATTCTGACAATTTCTAAGCGGTTTTATTCGTCGCGGGCGCTACGCAATTTGAGACCTTATGACGGGGTTTTTAAGTTTTTATAGAAATTATGTATTCACTCGAATCAGTACGGCGATAGCCTGGAGTCACTTTTTCGAAGTGTCGTCTTAAAACCCATTTTCGAAAATCCATGTGCTCAGGCGAAATAGGTGCGCGTCCATACGCTTCGCTGTCGTGTGGTGCGCGGAATGAGTCACGTTTCAAGTTTCAACTGCATTGAATAATGACCAATATTGCCACAATTGCATTGAAAGGGTTCGGTTAATCTTAGCTTTCAATGAGATTGCGCAATCACATTGAAATGTATTTAAATGTAACAATGCCATTGGAGCGATTAAATTGAAAGTGCAATAATTTAAAAATTGAATAAAAATTTAAAATTATGTAATATCGGCTTTATGCGACAGAAGTCTTCAGTTTCTTACCCCTGAAAACTTTAGAGCCACTCTTGCAAGACCCATTAATTGCCTTTGCAAAGTTGTGGGTGTTTCGTTTTAAGTGAATTCATGGGATAAAACACCGCATAATAACCGATAAGTAGCGATATGAACTAATTTTAGCCGTGTATAGGTCGTGCCACGTAAGATGAAATTAAATAGAGCCCACTGCGCATGTACAATAAAGCAGAAAAATGAAAATTTTATTATGGCATTTTAATATGTAAAAAGTCAAAGGTCAACATTATAACTACACATCAAAGTCTCCACGAAAACTGAACGATATATTTATATATCATCGTTGGGTTTTAACTGCTTCTAAATAATATTCTGCATTTTATGTACACTTTACAGTTAAAGAAATAAAATATTTTGTATTTGTATTTTTGTATTTGTAATTGCTGTTTAAACTATACTATGCGATAGCCTTCGATTATAAATTTTACATGAAATATTTGCAAAAAAAATCTTCTTGTAGAAAATAACAAAATATTTACAACTATATACAATATACTACGAACTACGCTATTTTAAATAGTCCCAAAATAATTTATAAAGTAATAAATATTTGCACACTATTTGAAAATATTATAGAACAATATTTTTAAAAGTACAAAAATAATCGCAAAAATTAAAAATTTTATAACAGGTAGTCGCCTACACTTTCGATATCGATAGTACACAAGACGACACAAGAAGGTGCGCGGGCGACGGGACGCAGGAAGAAACTACTTGGGAGTAGCGCGTCGCCCGTTGCTATGGTTTCGCCTTTCGCTTCCCCGTACCTCACACCGACCGACACCTATTTTTCGGTTCTGCGCACTTCCATGACTCATGGCGTTACCCTCTCGTTAGAGAGTAGTATGTTCCTTGGCGTTACCTATACCATTGTAAAGATTTAGAGGATATATGTACCTATATTAAAAGTGAATAGTGACATGACACCCGTGTAAATGTTATCACAAATAAAATCTCCATTACAGCTTATAAGAGCCCACTGCTGAACATATGCCTCCTAAGTTTGATTAAAATTTTTTTAATAATTGTAAACTTTATTAATGTGTTAATATTATGTTAGTGCAACATAATTTTAACACAATATTAATAGTTGTTGAGTTTTGTAAATCTCACCAGAATATATTACATTTATTGTGCCCTTTACTGTAGAGTAAAGAGTCTTCGATATCACCCAATCTCACCTCTCACCTCATCACACGCCACAGTTAGCTAGGTATTATCACAAGCGGGGACTTTTTATGAATCATTATCTTTGTTCATATATATTATATAGGTACATAACTACACAATATGCAGTATATAGAATTATATGCAGTAGAAGTACTTTGTTTTTCCCCGCACGTCTTACGTCATCTATTTTGTATACCAACATAAAGGTATTTTACCAAATTTTCAGGATAAACGCAATATCTGGTAAAAATGTGTTTTGTGCCAGATGTAATCGAGCCTCTAGTTATTAAATAAACTTATTTTTTTAAGTTAATTTTATGTTTCAGTCTGTTTGATTACCATAATTCAAGTAATTAGATGGAAATAAGCTACGCAAGAATATTGTGGCGTAGATGGTGCTTAGTACATTATAAGCCGAATATACGGTTTTAATAGTTAAGCCTCATACCACACGGAGACTGGAAAGTGTTCCAACTGCGCGAGTGGGAGTTAATATAACCACTTTTAATACATTTAGTAACACGGAGGCCAACGTTTTATTTTTTACAAATGCTTAACTCTTTTGCTGTAACGCTAATAATAGCAGAAGTTCTAGAGCACCATCCACCAGCAACATGATGCTTGAATACATCATAAAAATGCTTGACCCATAAGGAAAACAAAATTCTTCAAATTCTTTTAAATAAACGCATGCGAAGCCGAGGGTAAAAGATAGTTAACAAAGCCAAAATAACAGTATCATATTGTGATTGTTAGTACCTATGTAGGTAGTTGATGTATGTAGTGTGCAATTAAGTTGACATTTGTGTAAGCATTTCCAGCAGGTTGGTAGCCTTTAGTTTTCTTGAATTAAATAATGAAATAAAAATAAGAAATATTATTTCTTCAATTCCTTACATATCATGCATATTTCTTAATTATGTTTCCCTTAAGCATCAAGAGTACGAGACGAGTTATTACATTAAATTGTTGACAGTTCTTTTCAGGTATAGCTGAGCGCCTTACTTCTAAATTATATTTAATTTTACCCCGAACACAATCTTCATCTTAAAAATAGAGGAAATATTACTGATTAGTACATGATTTTGGCCAACAGTTCATCAGTAATAGCACAGATTAATAAGAAATTAATCGATTTGAAAAAAGTGTTTGTAAGATTTTGACGTGATAACGTCTAATAAATCGATGAACGCCGGCTGCATGCACGAAAAAGGATGACTCATTGGGAGAATTGGGGAACATAACCTAATTTAAATATATGTTTGTAAAGTATTATTAACTCCAATCATGAATTTTTAATGTATATGTTTATTATGTCATTTTCTTAAAACTAATATTGCCAAAACAACTTATAAACTTACTCGAGGATCGTGAAACATGGCGTTGACGCATTTTCGTTACGCTCCAGCCGAGCCCAGCACGATCGGAGCGAGAGCGCGGCATGAACGAGCGAAAGGCACGATCAACTGTAGCGTTCGGCTTGCGCTGCATCTATCTCTCTTCCATTCGATTAGCCTATAGCCTACCTACACGTCCGAGGAGAAGAAAGACAGCAAGCAGACATGTATAAAAGTTACAGTTAAAATAATCTGTTCATTGAAGTAATAAACATACATTTGAACATTTGAATTAATGAGTGCAAATAAAAGTAAATTTATCAATTAAATTGTAGATTTTATTTCACTCCTTATTCAGAAGAATAATTCAATTTTATTCATAAAAGTATGCAATCATTTCGTCAGTTTTGTTATGATGTTCTCACGTTAAACTATCCGTCCGTAAACCGACTCTACATACAACCATTTATTTTTGGAAAAATGGGTAACAATTTATGGCAATACCATTTTCATTTCTATCTTATCAATGTGGACGTAAATCGTAAACATTTAAACTTAGTCATCAATCATCATACCCAATACTAACTATACCAAAAATAGTGGGAATAATTATTTCACATATAGATCTATGAGTTATTTTAACATGCAAAGTTGACAGTTTAAAAATTAAAGTAGAATCACTATTTATATTATTAGTGAATAAGTGAATAAGAACAAAGACTACTATGGTATATCGGAAAAAATAATTCTCATTGTAACAGAACAGAACGCTATTTACCATAGCGCTTAAGAGTACAAATAAGCCTTGCTGTATATTCTTAGCACTAGTTAGTCAATAAGAGAAATGGTTCTGTGAATTGTTAAACAAATGTGTAATACACGGACGTAAAAGAAAGTGACAGTAAATTGAAGATTCTGAAATTTTATATTTGTAGGTTAACAGTGTCAGTATATTATTAAATTAACAATTTGTGTTATTTATTGTGCATATTTTATAATCAAAATGTCTGCAAGTGAAGCAGACACGAGCGAATCATCAAACCTGGAATCCCCGTTTAGTTCCCCATCTCAGCAAGTGCCTCAGTTAACTAACTTCTTGACAGTATTATCATGTGCTGATAGTACAATTATTAATAACAATGATGGTAAGTTTTATGTTTATTTGCATGTATTATAGTAATAATTAGCAAATATTTGAACAATCTTTGAATGCTTGATCATCATGTACATGTTCTTTAAACCTCTATGGTGGTTACAATAAATTGGCTAATAACATGTTAATTGTGAGCAGGTAGTTTTACTTGACACATAAAGTTGATGCGCCGGTAAGCCGGCGGGGTCTAGATTTAGGCCTTTGGCACGAGGTGATGCAGTAAATTTGATTTAACAATGGTTTTAATAAATATTATCGTACGAAATACAGTGTAATGCATTTGTAAATAGTTGCACTATATCTGGTAGCATTAATTAATCAGGTAACACAACACGCGATTTATAATATATAGTTTAGCTCGACGCCGGCACAGAAGCTGTCAAAATGGGTAAAATTCCATTCAAAAGTAAGTTTCGTGCTGTATTTAATACAATTACTTAATATTGTGCTTATATTTCACTGTATAAATAATCTTATGTAGTTTTTTGATACTGATTATTATAATACTTTATTGATAAAGTTAATAAATTATGTGGCCGAAAAGTGACACATAAAATTGTCCCATTATTTGGTTGTCGGCCATGCGGCCGAAAAGTAGCTTGAGTTTGGCCTAAATACTTTGTCTCTTTTGTTTATTTTGTTATGTACTATAACTCATCTTTCTTACTTATATTGAATCGTAGCGTGTGTAGACACTAACTTTCAGGTTTCGGCCACCGAGTACTGCAATTTGAACAGTTAGTGATGAAACAAAAATACCCACTTCGGTCATGGCCGAAAACTGGATTGACTCTAAAATTATTATTTAGTTTTGGGCCAACTTAAAATTGTATGAAAGAATATGGCAGCGGAAAATAGAATGCTGTCTTAGTTTATGTTTACGGCCATTTCATCTTATCATATCAAATATTTTATTCACATTGCGTTTTAGGAAGAAGATTCAATAAGAAATTTTTTTCTTCAGATGGCTCCTCTTGGTTAGAGATGGTAACAGATTTTGTTAAACTAAAATACCTATGAGGAAGTACAAAATACTCGTAAATGAGAAGATTTGATTGTTATATTTAAAAGATTTTCTTACCAGATTATGATTCAAAGAAAAATTATTAATCATGGTTATTATTTTATATGAAAACCACCCCCAGTAAGAAAAAAATAACGTTACAGTTTTAAAAATTGCAAGCACCGATTGAAAAAACGAAATACACCGATTTCCCAAACCGTTTTGCCATTTTCTAATTTTACAAAAACACTTAAGTTTATACTACCTCTTCTAATACAGTGGCCGAAAACTAAAATTCTTGTAGGCTGAAATCTAAAATTTGGGGCCGAAAACTAGTGTTTTGCATATTTTTCACATCAAAATTTATTATAAAAAATAGATTTCTTTTGTAGCATCAATGAGTTATCAAAGTGAAAACTACATTATATAAGCTACAAATTATTAACAGCACTAGATCAACATAATGGCTATTATTTTTTATTGTACCTTAAAGATGACAACTCCACCAAAAGGCCGAAAACTTTGAAAATTGGAAACTTTGGAAATTGATACAAAAAATTAGATGCTAGTAGATGTTGATCTATTAAACAGATGTTTATCTATCAATTGAGAAATGTGGGGGTGTCCAAATATTAAGTAAGTAGGCTTAGGGGCGAAGGGGTACAAGGTTTTCTTAATGGAGCAGTGGGAATATTAAAAAGTCTTATGTAAGATAAAAATAATTATGATGAAAATATTTTAAAAACAATATTAAAGTATAATCTAAATTAATAATACTATTTATATTACTTTTTATGGTATACCAAATTTACCTCTATTGCAAAGATGACCTAAAGTCTGCGCATTCTATCTTGGCCGGACTGAAATTGGGATTATTGAAAATTATTACTATAGTAAAAATATCTCTATTTATTTCAATACACAATAGTATCTAATAAAGAATTGCGATAAACAGTTTGAATTTGTAGTAAATACACCATATAAGTGAGGACAACAAAATCTTTCAGTAACCCTAAAATAATTATTACTTTATTATGAATATGGTTAATGTAAGTAAAAATTATATATTTTGTTACATGTAATGCGTATTGACAGATTGGTAGGAAATACCTTTGGGCCTTAAGTCCGTCCATTGTATCCTCTTCTAATTGATTTTAATAAAGATTTTAAAATAAAATAATCACTGTATTTAAAACCACATGTTGCATAGAATTGTAATAGAAGTGAAACCTTTAGAAAATTGTGAAAAAAATTATTTTGTAAGAGTGTAAACTTCATGCAATAGGTAAAGTAAAGTAATTTGTCGAATAAAAATTTATTGACTCAAGGTGGTACATAAAATACTACTAATGTAATATAAACTTCATACAGTGGAGACCGAGTTAATAGGAAACTATATAATTTATTTTATATATGTATATTAGAGATGTACCAAACATAGATTACACTGAATACGAATATTCGGCCGAAGGTTTGGTAAAACTTTTACCGAACTGAATATTCGGCCGATCATTATTCTACAGGATTACCTTGGTACCTAACCTATTGATGTCGAAATTTGTTACCGTAAAAAGCGCGAGATTAGTGCTGGACCCTGCCCCTCGCTCATCATCTAGTACTGGGCAAATTGCCGGCACATGCTTATGTTTTGACTATTTTTGTGAGAAAAAAAGTATTTTGTTGTGTTATTATTACAGAAAATAGATAACTAATATATGATAAAAAGGAATGGCAGGGGATCTACTATTTGGACTTTTTAGAGAAACTGATGACCAAAGTAAAGTTAAATTTACTAATGTAATATAATGTTCCTTCTTTCTTTCATTCTCTAATCCTTGTTTGGTTTGAAATACATTTTATCAAGCTTTCTATTTGCTATAATTAGAAATAAATCTACAGTGCCTCAAAAACATAATGCTGGACAAGTAGATTTAACCTTTAAATAAAATAAACTTTCAACAGTAAAATTATGAAAGACAAGGCATTACTCAGTTTGTACATTTCAATACAGTGGACACTTTGAGTACCACCTTAAATAATGTTCGTTGATTTTGCGAAATATTCGGCCGAATACGAATATTCAACCCATATATATGTATTTATCTTCTTATTAGCGTCGCTTTCTTGTTTCATTGCGTTTCAAAATCACAATAATTCTGGAGAAGTTTTCACTTCCATAAATATAAAATTAAATAAAATCATAATCGATAATAACAATAATTGATTCTAGGTAACATTTTTTAATCTGTGGTAATCATAACCGCGCAAATGCGTGTTCGCATCTCTCGTTTTAGTTACCGCCTACCCTCCCACTCCTCTTGTGACCATTATATTCATAAAAACTATATCTGCCCAGTCACTTGCACAGCCTCAACTTCAGCCTAACCAAAATAGAATGTTCGGACAATACCAATTGTTGATGATATTTAAACTTGGATATGGAGCCTGTGGACTATAAACGATTCTTAATTTTGTAATGTTATTAAAACACTAATACTTTAATTTTAAAAGTAATTGAGTATTTTTAATTTTAACTTTAATAAATAACAAAGGTTTTGAAAAACTTCTTACATCTTATCTTTTTCTTATTTTTACTTATATACAGGGTTTAATCATAGAAAATTTGCTTACGTAATACTTGATTTACCCCTTTATGTAACCAATATCTGCTTAATTCTTACACTTAGTTTTAATTATCTACACCTTACTATTAGTAATGAGCAGGGTAGGTAGGAAATAGCGAGTGAGGACATTGTGATATTTTTCAGTTGAAACCTCAATATTTTTAAGTCAAAACAAAAATTGCCTCACGGAAAGGTTTGCCAAAGTTGCCATGCTTGGTGTGTAGGTTTTTATTAAGTCTTTGTCTATTAAATTTTGCTATTTTGTTAAAGTGAATAACAGGTAAACATATTAATTTTGCATTAACATTTTGTAAAATTTCAAACATTTTTTTTACTAAATATTCCTGGTCGAAAATGATTATAACTATCAATCTTGGTGAAAGCTAACTTAACCAATATTTTTAAGTGTAAATTACATTTGAATAAAAATAGATACTTTTGACCGATGAAACCTTCCAAAGTACCTATTGACCCTATGTGCCTCTTTCGCATCAGACAGGTCTGTTGTTGCCCATAAGATCACTTTATAACTTCACATAAAAACTTCCTGTAAGAAATTTTCTTAAAAGATTAACAGAAGCATTATAGTTCAAGCTTTTGACCTTTGCAGTTATCTTGTAGTGAGTAGCCTTTTTTGGCAGTGGACATAGAATAGGCTATAATAATAGTAGGGGAGCCCAAGAGACTAAATAGGGATTTACTTGAGCGTCCTGGGGACCTATTGGATTGTGAAGATTAGATGCTAAAAAGAAAACAAGGTTATACTATGTATGCCCTTTCACTGGTGGGCGGAGCGTGTACAGGTTTTCAAAAATGTAAAAAAAACAGTCACAAAGAAATACTCCTGTCTATGTGTATGCGATCTACGTGTTTCTGATTATGATAACGGAGAAATAATAATCTGCCAGTTTGCATGGTGGGGGTTGCCGTAGAAAGGGGTAGAAATAGGAAAAAAAATTTGAGCGCGATGATTCACGGACCCTAATGCAAAGAAACATTTGACGAATATCAGCGGATAATGCAATACGAAACAAACAAAAATTTACAATACAATAACTTTATCTCAGGCATCAAGGACTTAAAAATTAAGAACATTGGCCCATAGCAATATATACCTTAACCTAAAAATATATATAAAATATAAATATAACACTATTTAGGGAACTTTCTTCTTTGGCGCGTCCCTGTATCGGCGAAACACTACCCCAGAAGGCCAGAAATCGGGAGCAAGAAATGTCTCTTTGTATTTTGCAGGAACCTGGAGTACGTAGGATTTGAAGTTCGTGGACCTCTTAGACTCCAGACGCTGCAAATGTAAAGAGATCGGATCCTCTATGCGGCATCGGCTTCGTTCTTCCACGAAAC